GCAATCGAACACACTATTCATACATGCACCCTTAGGGTAATCTCACTTGTTGCCTATCGAAAAATAGTCATGTCCCTTGAACATGGGTGTTTTAGCAAAGACCCTCGATAAAATATCATAGCCCCTCGATGACCCTCAATGTTGCCTTCGGTAAACGATCTAGTCCCTAAAAATGACATTGCTAAAACGTCTCATAGGTTGCTTTCAATGACTATACAAACGTCCCATGCCCGTCCCTTCACATCCAACGATGAGACTTCTTACCAAATCAATGGTAAGATGACAACATCTAAAGGAGGAGGAAAATGAACATGAAAGACTTTTGAGTAGGTAGAATGTTCCTAGTTACTTGCTCAAATTCAAAACAAAAATATCCTTGCTATTTTCAAAACAAACACCAACACTTTCAAAACACCTTTCAAACTTGAAAACATTTTCAAAAGATCAACACTTTGTATACATTCTTACGAACGAGAATCATTACAAAGTTTGCCTAAACAATGGTATTTTTACAAAAATACTTTCAAAAACCACACAAAGTACGTTTTCAAACAAGAGCAAGTGATCTAGCAAGTAACTAAGAGCCCGTGGAAAACCATGGATGAAAAGAGTGCTAATACCTTCCCTTTTCATAATCTACCCCCCGAACTCAAGAAACAATCTCAAAGGTCTTTCATGTGCTTTTTCACCTTTCCTTTTGGATAAAAGAAAAGTCGGTGACGACTCTTGCTAACCGCAATATTTGTGATCAAACGCAAAACACCAAGTTAGTTCTGCCACCGCACCACAGTTGGGATATGAAATTGTTATGATTCTTGGTTGTTTCCCAGAAACACGTGGAGTCCTTGGAGGACTCGCGCTTGAGACGGTGGCCTTCACGGCTACCCACAACGCTTGGCACTTAGGGTTCTAAGGTTTAGCTAGGGTTCATGGTTTGTTGTGAAGATCTGGGTTTGAGAATGATGGCTGGGATGAATATATGAAGATCCAGGTTGAAGATCAATCACAGATCTGAAGATAAGGATGGTGTTGGTGGAGGTGTACGGCGACACAAGGCAGTGTCGCCGGCCAGGAAGATTTCTGATGGTTGGGTTTTTAGAGAGAAGTCAGAGCCTCTCTCTCTAGATTTTGTATAGTGAGAAGCGGAAAAATGAGAAAATGGGATGGAAAATGAATATATATATATATTATCTCCCTTCACTCTGTATAAATGTCCTACCATACTCCCTCAGTCAACATCCAATCAGAGTCGTCCATTTATCATACTTCAGATCATTGTCACATAATTAACTTCTGATGGCCACATGATCTGGATTAAACGTTTTAAACCCTACAACGCACTGTAACTCCCTGATCTCGCCCACACCCTCTCCAACGAACCAAACAAAATTATTTTGGGACAATCCCGTTCTATTAACACCCCCCAAATTACTTCCTCAACGTAAAACCATACCTCCTCTGCGCTATTGGACCAAATTTTGTTCCTAAGCTCAAACCCTTACTATTAACACACCCACATTTACTTACCTCAATAGAAATACACCCCCTTGTTGTTTAAATAATTAATTAATTAATTAATTTTATTTATTTATTTATTTATTTTCTTAATCAATTTATTTTTTTCAATAATTTATTTATTTATTTAACTAATTTATTTATTTACACATTTTGGACATTTATTTTCTCTATATCACATTTTAACGATTGTATTAAATTATTTTTCATAAGTATCATGTTAATAAATAGATATTTTCTATTATTACAAATATTAAATATATTTTTAATAATAAATACAATAATTATTTATTAACTATTTTTTTTACAAAAGTTACTAACATCTTTTTATCAATTCATCAAAAAAAATTTTACAAACTTTAGCATCATTCAAATCTATTTTCACAAATTACATCATATGCATTCAAGAAATCTAACCAATCAAATTTAACATTTTTTATTAACATAACTTCAAATTAAATACTATTTTGTAAAAGGGGTTGTGGATCTGTTTTCAAAATTAAATTACGAACTTCGTCTATGACTACACTATTTTCAAACTCAGACAAAATTCAAGGATAACTCGAAAGCATTTACAGGATCCATAAAAAAACTAATCAAACATATACGAATTATGAATTTAGACTATGATTCTTTGCAAAGAAGTACGCGGTTAAAACCAAATCGAATTCCGCTATTAAAAAATTAAATCATTTTCTTAAACATAGAGAAACAACAACTTTTAAATGAAAATTTTCAATTTACTCCTACGACCTAAAAGAAAAATCCTTTGAGAACAAGAGAGATAAATAATGTCTTACACATTTTCTATTTATCTAACCAACTTATAAACTTATAAGTATCACAAACATTATGGTAGTTGTTATTAATGAGTGCATCAACAAATAATTTCTTGAAAGTGTTTGATTTGTTTGCTTCTTTGATCGATTGAGAGGTTAAACACGCCCAAAGAATGATGTTTTGGATGTTGGTTGGAGGTTACGACAGTTGTTTAAGCCATTGTGACCAATTGTGTAAAGAGGAGGTAAGGATTTCATAGTAAACTTATAGTTATCAATTGCCGCCGGAGCGTAGTAAACTTTTTTCCCATTAACTAATCATATTAGAATTTTATTCTAGTACATGCTAAATAAAGTTTCTATCACACGTTACTAAAAAAAGTTGCTATCATACAAATCTCAAGTAGGGCACATGAGCTCAATACGCGTGTTAAAAGAACATTTTTAAATAAATTTTTTATTTTTAAAGCTACAAACATAATGGATATTTCAAATAAAAGAAAAAGAAGAAACCAACAAAAATACAAAATTCAGAAGAATAAGAAGAAAGTCTTCATAAGAAAACACTCAAGCATTTTATTTCCAAAATGTAATGTTATACATGAAATATTTGACCAACTTAAATGACATTCATAATTTAATAGATTAGAAAAATAAATAACAAAAGATTTAATTAGAATTTTGTCTTCGATTTTTATTTTTACCAAATTAATCTCCTCATTTTAAAATTATATCGTTTTAATTTTGATATATTTTTTACTCAAAAATGGTATTATTTTTTTATATTTTAAATAACGAAATATATGGCATTGATATATTTATTTATATAAAAAATTAATTTTTATATATATACTACTATTAAGTAAATTACAATTTTTCATTGTTTATAAAGTTAAAATTAATGTTTTAAGAAATTTTCATACAATTTCTTTGGTATCGATCATTTCATTTCAATAAATACGAAAAAGAAACCAAAATTAGATAATTTTAAAATGAGAAAATCAATTTCAGACATGGGTAAAATTAAAAAATTAAAAAATTAAAAATGTAATTAAAGAGTCCAAATATTTAATATTTGTATTAATAAATAAAAGTAGATTTTTTTTTAAAGACTAAAGTGAAACCTAGAAAATAACTTAAAGAGTATAAAACATTTTCAATAGCAAATTTAGATTATCTTATCATAATAATTAAAAAATTTAATACATTAATATTAATATTATTTTTGGTGAATAATTCATTATTATTAATTTACCAATTCTTTTCTGGTCACAGATTTCAAAAGCCAATTTATTTTCCTTCCTAAATAAGAAACCATGATAACAAACATCTCATACACTTGATGATGATGGTATAGACAGAGTGATGCACCTATTCAACGTAACCTTTCATCTTAGATAAAGTCAATTTTTCAATACTTTATATAAATTATAATATTAGAAATTCAATTAATGCTTTAAATTAAATTCCAAATTATATAATAATTATTTTAACATATACTAAAGAGAAATTCAGACATGAAAACTAAGAGTGTATTGTTTGTTATTGTCATGCAAATTTCTTGGTAACAACAGAAAGAGTGTGTTTGAAAGAAAAAAAGTGTATGAGACATGATACATAGAAGCTAACATTGTTGTTTGGTATTGATTTTTAAAGATATTAATTAGATTGAACTGTCTATTTAATGTTGCACACTGTTTTTTCTTTTTTCTTTTTTGACTAATGAAACCGTTCCTCTATTGTACTATTTTTTTGAAACTATAATTTTCTCAATTTTGAGTTTCTTTCTTGCAGATATTATTAACCAGAGATAAAGTTACACAAGTGATTCTTCAATTAATCAGGTGAGAAATTATAGAGTTTTTTTTTTTGACATTTGAATTATGCTTTGGAATCATCAACTTTGAAATTATATCTGTGATTTTGACTGTTCTATTGGATTTGAAAATCTATGTGCTTAGAAGTGATTTTTTACAATCTCTTGATCCTTCAATTAATGTGTAAACATGGTTAATATTCATACATTATATGATTCTTCTTCATATATGCTTGAGTTGTGAGACTGCATAATTTCATACACAGAATCATGTAAGCCATGTTTATTCGTTTTGCAACATTTATTTTTTTCTCTTTCTTTGCTCAGATCTTCCTTTTTCTGAAATATTATAGATACTAGATTTTAGAATTTTGTTTTTAAAACATTTTTCATCTAAATTTCTACCTTAATTCAACCTGCATTTTAAAGATGAAACTGATCAAGAGGGTCGTCTTGAAATTTTAGAGACTCGTGTAGGTTAGATACGATTCTAACAATGAAAAAAAATTAGAAACTTTATTTAACCACGTTTCAAGAGTGACAAAGATGTTATGATCACTATTTAACATGGCAACTTTTAGGCCATGGACGAGCACGTCTTGCACGCCCTCAAACACAACCTTGCTGATCAAAAGTCATATAATTCTTAGAAAACCGATTACCCGAGTGACTAGACCCTTATCACATACTAAAATGGACTACGGGTGACCGATCTAGATTAATCTGTTGAACAATAGATAGACAATATTTAGATATGGTGCAATAACTCTATCACACAGTTTCAATCTCAAATTAATGGTCGAAATCGTTTAAAATTGATTTTGTTATTGTGTAATACAAAACTGACGCGACTTTTTTCAATGTAGTGTCAAGTGATAATTCTATCAAAGATGTGGAGTTCAAAAGTAGGAAGCAAGAAACATACACATTCATTTCGATGCGAAGATCCAATTAGTCCAAACCATAAGAAAAATCTTCATGACAGAACGAAGAACAATCATAATTTTGTGATAAGGGAGGTTCCAATACATAAAGTGTTCAATGTAGAACATTGTACTAATAATACTAGCAGAGACTTTTCGGATTTCGTGGAAGGAAAGAATTATTCTTCTACAGGCATGAATGGCTCAGACTATGATACGCCGGAGCTGGTTGTTTTTATTCAAGAGGATCGTCATCAGCAATACGTGAAGGACATTTGCATTGACAGAAGAATTTCACCAGAGAGAAAGTGTGATATGAATGGAAGTAGAACAAGTGATTTAAATCTAGGAATCATGGAAACAATGTCGAACAATTTTTTTCGACCGAATTGTGCCTCTCAACATCCTTCCTTTAAGGAAGCTATGAAAGTGCATGGTTTCAGAAACTTGATGAAAAGTGAAATGGAACTTGCTTTAGGAGACAGGCTTACAATTGATCATCACCTTACAAAGAAGACAACATCCGAGACACTTAGAGAGGTTAGACATATTTCATTTTGATAATCTTTGTTCCATTTTCTATTCCTGGTAGAGAAAATAGAAGATACACTCTCAGTGTAAATTTTTACACTGTCAATCAATGATCATCGTGTATTAAGTTAGTAGTATGATATATCTGAGTGATGAATTTGTATTGGACGACAGTGCATATCCATTAAACTTTTTCTGATAACAAGTTAATTGTATCCTTTTGAATTTTGTTGAACAATTTTTTTCTTTTGCGATTCTCAGGCTTTTAAAAGGGAAAGAAACTTGACTAGGTCCTTTGAGAATCGGCAAAGAAATTCGATTTTAGGAACAAGTGGAAGCAGAGTGGAGTTTCCACCACATTGCAGAAAGTGTCTACAAGTGAATGACAGAAACGTGTATAGACCAGATATAAGTTACTTACAAAGTCTAACAACAATTTCTGAACAAAGAAAAGTTGATTGTTCTGAAGAGATTTCTAATAATGCCTTAGAATCTCAATCTGGTTCAACACCATGTATTTCTCATGCAAAGAACTCTAGCATTGCCTCTCACCAATCTAATGGTAGCATAGGCAGTGCAAATTCATTTTCTTTTCCCATGTAAGTTTCTTCATTCTTATTTATTTATTTATTTATGTATACAATAGTAAGGATCTACGTTAAGATTGCGCGGTCAAGCTAGTTACAATTCTGTTATTGATGTTTCAAAAGACATTGTTAAGGTTTTGAATGAATTGCAGATTACCTGTGGAATGGGTTGGAAGTCCAGTGAAAATGATGGAAGCTGATAAAAGTCTATCAAGAAAGCATGGATGGGGGAAGATATGGTTACCATGTTGTTGTGATTAGCATGCATTGGGTTAGGAATGCCAAGTTCATTCAAATCTTTTTGTCTGGATTTTTTGTATGTGTCATTAGAATGATAAAGGACGAAGTTTACTACATAATGTTTAATCCCATTTCTCCATATATAGGGAAAAAGAAATCCTCAACTATGACTCGAATTTTTCAATAGAGAGAAGAAGGACAATGAATGAAATAAATAACACTTATATTTTTTTTCTCTTTATCTCTTATTTATATTTCATCAAAAGTAATTATGTCAATTCATAATAAATTTCTTAAATGCGTCGGAAGTGTCAAATAGACTGCATATTCATTTAAAATCTTAAATTGATTGGGGTATGAGTCACCTCTCTTATATACCCTCACACTCCATTCTCCGCTCTCCCACCGAGCCTAACCATGACTCTAATACTATTTGTTGGAGAGTTTGGAGAGCGTTCAAAAGTGTGAATGGACTAAACGTCCAGAATTCAAGAGACTTTGACACCACATATCCATCAAAAACTGTAAGACAATGAAGTATGAGTCACCTCTCTTATGTATATATGACATTTCCTTCATTTCAAATTGACGTGGAACTTAATCACTCACACTTACTAACTAACTAGCAACATGCAATAGCTAACAACTAGTAAGTTAGTTACATGATGGCTTTGCCTACTAACTTTGACACCTCTCCTTAAACTAAGGTTGAAAGATGTTCAAAAGGAAGATCTTGAGCACGAGCTCTTGAACATTAGTAGGATGAAAAATCTTTAATAAGTAAATCTGTAATTTAATCATGGTTAGAAATGAGAAGCAAGACGTTGTTTAGATCTATATGACAATCAATGTCAAGGTGTTTGGTCTCTCTCGTGAAATAAAGAGTTGATTGTGTTAGTTTTTATGTTTGGTTATAGGTAGTTATTAGTTAGTTGGTTTTTTTTATAAATTAGCTAAGATTTGTTAGAAGGTCATGATCACAATATAAAGTATATCATGTATCCATTGTAATCATTTTATCGTTAAATCAACATTAAACAATTCAATCATATCTTAGTTTATTTTTCTCTTTCTTGGCCTTAACCATTGAACTGGAATACTTCGGAGGGACCACAAAGAGGTCGAACACCAATATTCCAGCCTACGAATGACGTGGAAATAGCTTGGAGCGAAAGGGTGGGATCACGCGGAGATCATGTGATCCAGCATGGTCAATCTCGATATCTCAAGCATGGATTTCTCAACCCAGTCCTAAACGTCTTAGTCAAGAATCGCAGAGAAACACGTCAAGCCACCTATTTGAGAGGTAATTGAAGTACTCACAAGTATGTTAGGCTTACTTCGTTCCATATTAAGGGGTATGACTGGTTCCACTTACTCCCATGATTTAGTCAAGGTTTGAGGATGCATGCCTAACATATATTCATTTAAAGTGGTCCTCTTAGCAACCATTTGAACAGTAAATCAAATCTATAAATATCTCATCCATAAGTTTGGGCATGAATCACTTTTTGATATACTGAAACTCAAAAGGCCCTCTTGCACATCTCATTGCATGAAGGGTGTCCTCTATTATACTTACCATAAGTACAACCATGATTCTCAACATGTTACATCATAGAGGACACTTTGACTATTGAAATAGAGGAATAGAGGTTTGAATCAAGTAATTTGAAACTGATTGTTGTTGGGTTGTCAAGAAATCAGGTGAATTCAAAAATAGAAAAGATAATGTTTGGCTAGTAGTGGCTAAGTAGAGTAACTTACCAATTAGTCATCTATGTCCAAAAGGATATGAGAAGATCTAGACATTATTGTACATATGAATCCATGTAGAAGAGGAGGGGAAAATTGTAAAGGTTTGAAAATCGATGATTTAAAACAAAATCATTTGAGAAATTAGAGGTTAAGACCATTTTATAAAAAAACATTTGAAAATGCAACGGAAATTCATAGTAAATAATTAAAAAAAAGGAGATCAGGGAAGAAAAATTGTTGAGTTTGGCTCATAGGTAATGTCAAGTGGAAAAGGGGTGGCCTTTGCCTTTGCGTTTGGCCCAACTGTTTGTTTAGGGGCGACTGGGGTGTGGGGAGAGAAACCCTTTTGATACAGTTTAGGGGTATTATAGTAATTTAGATCATTAGTTTTCCTATATATGTTTGTAACACTGAAACCCTAAAATTTTTAATTCATAATGAACCAATAAGATATAACTATAGATGCTTTATAGTTGCAGACATAGGCAATTTGGCCAAACCGACAGAACAAATCTTTTGTATGTTTCTCTCTACTTTGATCTGAAATCGAGTTATTGTCCCAACAATTGGTATTAGATGACGCTTAATCCTGGAGGTGCGAAATTCAAAGTGACTCGGTTCCATGTAAGGGGTAATTTCGATTTATGGCAAAGGAGCGTTAAGGATCTGTTGGCTTCACAAGGTTTATAAAAGGTGTGTTGTAATGAGAAATCGGCGGATATCACAACGATTGACTGGAATGAGATGAAAGAGAAGGTCGCAGGTTTGATAATATTTTTTTCTGGTGACGTGATGAACCATATCCTGGACCTCACAACTCCAAAGGATGTCTGGGATAAATTGGAAAATAAGTGCATGTCCAAAACACTCATGAAAAAATTGTCTCTAAAGCCGAGTCTCTATAATTTGAAGATGCAGGTGTTGTACCCCAAAATTTTCCCTTTTAATTTCTCTTATCTGGCTTAGGCTTTTGCATTCATCTTATAGCATACGTTCGTATTTCCATAAAGTACCATGAGGTTTAAAGTTCAATGGGTGTGCACGCTAGGGTTTCCACAGTGTTGAGGTGTATATATCCAATCAAGGTTGATTCTTTCTTCAAGCAGTGAGGTGTTAGAATTAGGTTTTTTGATGTGTGGTTATAATGGAATTTCGTCTTCATCAAGACCGAGGCTTCAGAAGGCACTAGGGTTCCATTCTCTTGTAAAGTTTGTTTAACTGAAGATCCAAAGTTCATGAATTAGGATTCATGTCCTTAATCAGGAGGACTTCTAGATAGGCTCTATGAAGCTATTCTTCAGGCCAATATGTGACAAGTTTAGAGGAATTAGAAGATATCTCTTCACAACTATCACCACCTATAAGTAAGCTTTGTTTTCCTAGTCATATGGTATGCGAGAGGGATGCCTTGTGAAGTTTTCTCATTAGTGAATTTCATCCTTACTTGAGGTACAAATCATTGAAAGTTTTAAGGTGTTCATGAGCAATCCAGGTTTGTAAAAGTGATGATGCATTAAAGGAAATTCAAGGGATTAAGTCGATACAAGTTCCAATAGAGAAAAGATTCAAGGTGGTTGGTAAAATATGTTTTTTAATGATTCCAATCTAATATTCACTTTCTTTATACAAGCTATTCCTTTGAAATTCATTCAAGAGATTTGGTTTCAAACATGAATTCAGGGTTCATTATTCCAAAGGTTTTAAGCACCATCCATTCGACGTTATTCAAAGTTTATCTAAACAAAACTACAGTCAAAATCCAAACGAAATAACCATACAAATTCCACCCCAAAATTCATTACAAAATACACAAAAAGAGTGCATAAATTCATAAGTCCTAAAGCCTATGTTAAATTAAATCTTCAAGTTGTTATAACCAAGAAACAAGCCTTTCACATTTAAAATCCATGACTAAGGATTTTGCTTCATGTTGTAAACTCCAAACCATTCATTCCAAACTTCATTTCCAACTCTCCTCAATGTTGTTTCCGGATGATTTAGAAGTTCTTTCCTTCATGGCCAAAGAAATTATGACTCTATCATTCTTCTAAGACAACCTCCTTCAATCTTGCCAACATAAGTCTTCACCTTCCGAACCTGCATAAACCGGATCAATGTCCAGTTAATTGTTAGAAGAAATCGCAAAAGTAGTCATGTCTTAAATCCCTTCATTTTGAATTATGCCAAAACAGATCACTGTCAAGACATGTCAAATAATATGTATAGAGATGCAGTAACTAGAGAGGCAATATTCATTTGGATCATGTGGTAAACTCCTAAAAGGGGTTCACCAAATTGCTACTATACCAGACCAGATCTACACCAAAATGCCATAATGCCAATCTTCAAACTTCACCATCTCAAGTCCTCATGACACCTCTTCAATGCCTTTCCTATAAGTCCCTAGCCATTCCCTGCACCTATACATAAAACCAGATTAGTTTTGCTACCAAAAATAGAAAAATGCTTCAGAATAGTTCATGCTTCCAAAACTAGATAAACCAGTTTCAAACTAGCAAAGACTTACCCTGTATCAAGCTAACCCGCGGCTGCTACCAGCACCAAGGCATGTTCCATAAAATAATCCAAAAGTCATATGAAACTAAAATGAGAAATGAAATCGTAAATTTCAAGTAGAATAAACAGAAAGAATGCCTACTCCTTCTTCAAAAAGATGGCTTTCTCTTGAAGCTAACCCTAATGTCATGAACCAGTTCCTTTCTGGTCTTGTTCTTCCGGAGGGTCAAGCTGGATGCGATGATGTTTATGGATTGGATGAAGAGCTTTTGGAAATGGTTCCAAAACCATTTCTTGATGTGCTTTTTCTTTATCCTCTCACCGCTATGTCTGAAGAGGAGAGGTTGCAACAGAATAAAGGAAAAAGGAATATAACAACAAAGTGTATTTTATGAATCAAACTGTGGGTAATGCTTGTGGTACAATAAGGCTTCTTCACGCTCTTGGTAACATAACTTCTGAAATCAAGTTTGTTGAGGAGTCGTTCTTTGATAAGTTCTTTAAATCTACTACAAACTTAGACCCAATGCAGCGTGCTTTGTTTCTTAAGAATGACTCAGAGATGGAGGTGGCTCATTCTGTAGCAGCCATTGTTGGTAATACAGAGGCATCAGATAATGTGGATGCTCGTTTCATCTTCTTTGCTTGTGTGGATGGTGAACTTTATGAGCTTGATAGAAGAAAGTCAGCACTGATATCACATGGTCCTGCCTCAGTTCATAATAAAAAATCAAAAATATTAAACC